ATTCACCCATTTCTGCTAGTCCTAGTGGAATTTCTCTTGTGCCAATGTGTTTCTCAGGCCGTGACTATCCTCTGGACAGAGAATCAGAGTGCCCGTAGGACGCCGTTTAAGCCCAGTTTGATCAATTCACCCATTTCTGCTAGTCTTAGTGGAATTTCTCTTGTGCCAATGTGTTTCTCAGGCCGTGACTATCCTCTGGACACAGAATCAGCGTGCCCGTAGGACGCCATTTAAGCCCAGTTTGATCATTTCACCCATTTCTGCTAGTCCTAGTGGAATTTCTCTTGTGCCAATGTGTTTCTCAGGCCGTGACTATACTCTGAACAGAAAATCAGCCCCTTAGGACGCCATTTAAGCCCAGTTTGATCAATTCAACCAATTCTGCTAGTCCTACTGGAATTTCTCTTGTGCCAATGTGTTTCTCAGGCCGTGACTATCCTCTGGACACAGAATCAGCCCCGTAGGGCGCCATTTAAGCCCAGTTTGATCAATTCACCCATTTCTGCTAGTCCTACTGGAATTTCTCTTGTGCCAATGTGTTTCTCAGGCCGTGACTATCCTCTGGACAAAGAATCAGCTTGCCCGTATTAGGCCATTTAAGCCCAGTTTGATCAATTCACCCATTTCTGCTAGTCCTACTGGAATTTCTCTTGTGCCAATGTGTTTCTCAGGCCGTGACTATCCTCTGGACAAAGAATCAGCTCCGTAGGACGCCATTTAAGCCCAGTTTGATCAATTCACCCATTTCTGCTAGTCCTAGTGGAATTTCTCTTGTGCCAATCTGTTTCTCAGGCCGTGACTATCCTCTGGACAAAGAATCAGCGTGCCCGTAGGACGCCATCTAAGCCCAATTTGATCAATTCACCCATTTCTGCTAGTCCTAGTGGAATTTCTTTTGTGCCAATGTGTTTCTCAGGCCGTGACTATCCTCTGGACAAAGAATCAGCTCCGTAGGACGCCATTTAAGCCCAGTTTGATCAATTCACCCATTTCTGCTAGTCCTACTGGAATTTCTCTTGTGCCAATGTGTTTCTCAGGCCGTGACTATCCTCTGGACAAACAATCAGCGTGCCCGTAGGACGCCATTTAAGCCCAGTTTGATCAGTTCACCCATTTCTGCTAGCCCTACTGGAATTTCTCTTGTGCCAATGTGTTTCTCAGGCCGTGACTATCCTCTGGACAGAGAATCAGCGTGCCCGTAGGACGCCATTTAAAACCAGTTTGATCAATTCACCCATTTCTGTTAGTCCTAGTGGAATTTCTCTTGTGCCAATGTGTTTCTCAGGCCGTGACTATCCTCTGGACACAGAATCAGCGTGCCCGTAGGACGCCATTTAAGCCCAGTTTGATCAATTCACCCATTTCTGCTAGTCCTACTGGAATTTCTCTTGTGCCAATGTGTTTCTCAGGCCGTGACTATCCTCTGGACAGAGAATCAGCGTGCCCGTAGGACGCCGTTTAAGCCCAGTTTGATCAATTCACCCATTTCTGCTAGTCCTACTGGAATTGCTCTTGTGCCAATGTGTTTCTCAGGCCGTGACTATCCTCTGGACAAAGAATCAGCATGCCCGTAGGACGCCATTTAAGCCCAATTTGATCAATTCACCCATTTCTGCTAGTCCTACTGGAATTTCTCTTGTGCCAATGTGTTTCTCAGGCCGTGACTCTCCTCTGGACACAGAATCAGCGTGCCCGTAGGACGCCATTTAAGCCCAGTTTGATCAATTCACCCATTTCTGCTAGTCCTAGTGGAATTTCTCTTGTGCCAATGTGTTTCTCAGGCCGTGACTATCCTCTGGACAGAGAATCAGAGTGCCCGTAGGACGCCGTTTAAGCCCAGTTTGATCAATTCACCCATTTCTGCTAGTCTTAGTGGAATTTCTCTTGTGCCAATGTGTTTCTCAGGCCGTGACTGTCCTCTGGACACAGAATCAGCGTGCCCGTAGGACGCCATTTAAGCCCAGTTTGATCATTTCACCCATTTCTGCTAGTCCTAGTGGAATTTCTCTTGTGCCAATGTGTTTCTCAGGCCGTGACTATCCTTTGGACAAATAATCAGCCCCGTAGGACTTCATTTAAAACCAGTTTGATCAATTCAACCAATTCTGCTAGTCCTACTGGAATTTCTCTTGTGCCAATGTGTTTCTCAGGCCGTGACTATCCTCTGGACACAGAATCAGCCCCGTAGGGCGCCATTTAAGCCCAGTTTGATCAATTCACCCATTTCTGCTAGTCCTAGTGGAATTTCTCTTGTGCCAATGTGTTTCTCAGGCCGTGACTATCCTCTGGACAAAGAATCAGCGTGCCCGTAGGACGCCATTTAAGCCCAGTTTGATCAATTCACCCATTTCTGCTAGTCCTAGTGGAATTTCTCTTGTGCCAATGTGTTTCTCAGGCCGTGACTATCCTCTGGACAAACAATCAGCGTGCCCGTAGGACGCCATTTAAGCCCATTTTGATCAGTTCACCCATTTCTGCTAGCCCTACTGGAATTTCTCTTGTGCCAATGTGTTTCTCAGGCCGTGACTATCCTCTGGACAGAGAATCAGCGTGCCCGTAGGACGCCATTTAAAACCAGTTTGATCAATTCACCCATTTCTGTTAGTCCTAGTGGAATTTCTCTTGTGCCAATGTGTTTCTCAGGCCGTGACTATCCTCTGGACACAGAATCAGCGTGCCCGTAGGACGCCATTTAAGCCCAGTTTGATCAATTCACCCATTTCTGCTAGTCCTACTGGAATTTCTCTTGTGCCAATGTGTTTCTCAGGCCGTGACTATCCTCTGGACACAGAATCAGCGTGCCCGTAGGACGCCGTTTAAGCCCAGTTTGATCAATTCACCCATTTCTGCTAGTCCTACTGGAATTGCTCTTGTGCCAATGTGTTTCTCAGGCCGTGACTATCCTCTGGACAAAGAATCAGCATGCCCGTAGGACGCCATTTAAGCCCAATTTGATCAATTCACCCATTTCTGCTAGTCCTACTGGAATTTCTCTTGTGCCAATGTGTTTCTCAGGCCGTGACTATCCTCTGGACAGAGAATCAGCGTGCCCGTAGGACGCCATTGAAGCCCAGTTTGATCAATTCACCCATTTCTGCTAGTCCTAGTGGAATTTCTCTTGTGCCAATGTGTTTCTCAGGCCGTGACTATCCTCTGGACAGAGAATCAGAGTGCCCGTAGGACGCCGTTTAAGCCCAGTTTGATCAATTCACCCATTTCTGCTAGTCTTAGTGGAATTTCTCTTGTGCCAATGTGTTTCTCAGGCCGTGACTATCCTCTGGACACAGAATCAGCGTGCCCGTAGGACGCCATTTAAGCCCAGTTTGATCATTTCACCCATTTCTGCTAGTCCTAGTGGAATTTCTCTTGTGCCAATGTGTTTCTCAGGCCGTGACTATCCTCTGGACACAGAATCAGCCCCTTAGGACGCCATTTAAGCCCAGTTTGATCAATTCAACCAATTCTGCTAGTCCTACTGGAATTTCTCTTGTGCCAATGTGTTTCTCAGGCCGTGACTATCCTCTGGACACAGAATCAGCCCCGTAGGGCGCCATTTAAGCCCAGTTTGATCAATTCACCCATTTCTGCTAGTCCTAGTGGAATTTCTCTTGTGCCAATGTGTTTCTCAGGCCGTGACTATCCTCTGGACAAAGAATCAGCGTGCCCGTAGGACGCCATTTAAGCCCAGTTTGATCAATTCACTCATTTCTGCTAGCCCTACTGGAATTTCTCTTGTGCCAATGTGTTTCTCAGGCCGTGACTATCCTCTAGACAAACAATCAGCGTGCCGTAGGACGCCATTTAAGCCCAGTTTGATCAATTCACCCATTTCTGCTAGTCCTAGTGGAATTTCTCTTGTGCCAATGTGTTTCTCAGGCCGTGACTATCCTCTGGACAAACAATCAGCGTGCCCGTAGGACGCCATTTAAGCCCAGTTTGATCAATTCACCCATTTCTGCTAGTCCTAGTGGAATTTCCCTTGTGCCAATGTGTTTCTCAGGCCGTGACTATCCTCTGGACAAACAATCAGCGTGCCCGTAGGACGCCATTTAAGCCCAGTTTGATCAATTCACCCATTTCATCTTGACGCATGAATCAGGTTGTCTCAAATTTTTCTTTTTTCCGTCGTTAGGGCTTGATTTTGGGTCACATCTAGTAGCAACATTTATCCACACTAAAGCGTCATATTGCCCGTGACAATAACTGCGACACACCATTGTGCGTCCGTAATTTATTACCGCGAGAAATCTACAAAACCCTCTACCTAGAAATCTAGATCTATTACTACTACAAACAGCCCTTTGCAAGCCCAACCTTAAAATACCCAGCGTTCTTTAGCTAGCTCAACTCTTTTGGTGGTCGTCCGTTCCTTGGCGCCACCCCACAGTGAGATCGTAAAATATCAACACAAGACCTTTATAGGAAATTAGGTAGGAAGCCTAACTAAAAATATTTCTGGCGACTCCATCTGTGAAACCATTGTCGATTCTCGAACAATTCACGGGAATAACTGAACCATCACATCAATTCGTTTATCGATTTAAATCGGTATAGTTTTTGCTTAGCTATCTAGAGTAATACTAAAAAAATTACGGATTTTTAGTGTGGTCCCATAACTCCAAAAACTTTCTGAGGATTTCCTCCGGACGCGAAATCTTGACCTAAACAGCTAATTTAAAAATTCTCGCAAAAGAAGTCTTTGAACTGCTTCCCAGGATATGAACTGAGAGAAACTTGTGTCTAAAATAAGAAAAAGTTGGCACCATCGTGCGCGACTGTGTGGCAGTCTACCACCCAATTCAGCATATTAATTCAGGGAATTCCCTGAAAGAAGTCCTCGTTTAATTTCAGAGACTCTATATCAACAGTTCCATAGTTTTAAGTTTCTTTGATCCAGAGCCACAGAGTAACACGTTTTTATTTCAGTAAGCCTGTACATTGGGGAACGTAAGACTACTCTGTGTATTTAGCTCTCTAGTGCAATCGCTGTCAGTGTTGCAATGCCCAAACTGCCGGCTAGACAAACCGCATCCTCACTGGTTGGTCGTACCAACATCCGACCAAAAGTACTCGCCAAGTCGAAAGTCGCAAAACTCCCACTGAATCCTTGTTCCGTTAGCCTGACCGATGTATTTGGAGGGGCAAACAAAAGGGCAGAGACCATAGAACACAATCTTCTTAATCTCAGTAGCCACATTTCTTTGATTGATACGACCCTATCCAAGCTAATTCCGCTCACGTATATCTCTGACCCCCCAACAAATCCGTCAACCCTAGACCTAGTCACGGCTGGGCGTTTCATAGACGCCATTGCCTCAGAAATAGTTCGAAGAATCAGTAACTCAAAAAATGCTGTGGTATTTAATATTCCCGACAGAATCCCTGTTGAGAAAGTAAAACATAACCTTCTAAGTTCTATTAATATGGCACACCACCCCTGCCAGTGCTTTCGGCTACGAAAGAACATTCAACGCAAATCCTGTCCAGTGTTGTTCAAATTTCTTGAAGAGGAACCCGCTAAACAATTCATTAAGAGCCAATCCACCGTCGCTTTGAGATCCCCGTTCAAGAAAATTAAAATTGCTGCCGACAAAACCCCATTACAAAGGGAATTCGCCAGGTCCACCAGCACGCATTCAGCTTCGTCAAAAATTGTCCGCCCTCAACTATCCGCTTCTTCTCAGTCTGACGATGCGCAAAATGCATGCAATATCAATTCGGCTTCATGTTCACCAGAACATCGATCCCATATGTTTGACGTCGATTTAGATATATCCAGTTCAACGTCACCTCACCAGCCAGCGCCTAAGAAACCAAGAAGCATAGAGTTTACCCCGGGCAAGCTGTCCTCTCTTGAGCTGACTAACTCGATTCCACCATTACCTATCACCGAAATATCGGCCACGATCGATGACGATGCGAACCGCCTAACTGGCTTAACAGCCATACCCAGAAATCCTCAACCCATCAGCGGAGTCACCCCAAATTCTTCTTTGCCATCTCTCCACTCGGCTCCAATAGCCACTCGGCAATCTACGGTGCCTAGGCCATCCCCCAAACCAGCGAAAACATCATTACTAGGTGGACTGCACGCTGTTGACACTACGGTCAATCCTAACTCACTCATCAAGCCACACTCTCAACGGCTAAGGACCCCAAGCGAGGCAACACGGAGTGCAACAATGGACAAGAAAACGTCATTCAAGACCTATCTCCCCAATCCAAACCACCAACCACTAGTTGCACCGTACATTCCACCCAGTATCGCGTTCTCTTCACCTGGTTATCATCCTCATCAGGCTGGTACAACTAACCTCCGGGCCTCTTCAACAACGCCACCATTCATACCAAACGATTACTTTAGTGTTCTACATAACTTCTATCGTAGCCTAAGTAATATTTTCTCACATGAATCTCTTTCCTTTTATCGTTCACATATCTCACCCACCCTGAATCCCTTTTCTACCGCAGGCCACTTACAACAGTACCCACGACCTCCCAGTCTCTACGCCAACCAACACCCGTATATCCCACTTCCATTTCACATTCCCCCTCCAGGTTACAGCCCATCAAATTACTGATGTCAAGAGGGCACCTGTGTTACCGCCCGTATTAAGGCAGGTGCCAAGATACCTGAGGCTGCTACACGTCCTTTTTCTTTCCCACTTAACAGCTACTTAACCCTCCCTCCTCATATTTCTACGCCCCAGCCACCAGTATCTACCAATAGTAAAGCACTCGATAGTGATCTTTCGCGGTGTTGTTCCACGCTAAGTAGACTTACCAACCGCCGACATCCTTCCAATCTAACGAATCTCATCAGTACTAGCCACACCCGGCTTAGCTTAACAACCAAGCTGACCGCCACGCCAGGTGTTTCTACTCAGCTTATTTCACCATCCACATTACCGACTACTCCATCTCAAGAAATAATGATTGCGTCATCCGATCCGCCTTCAGCAAATGCAATTTCGGAATCCTATAAAGATCTTAACGTTAACCTTGACTCCACTAAACAGTTCTCATTGTTTATGCTGAATGCACGCTCAATAGTGAATAAGATGCGAATGCTGCGTATATTACTGCTCACGTCTGATTACGATCTTATTTTAATTACCGAAACCTGGTTGACAGACAACACTCCAAACGAGGATATCGCTATCACCGGATACCAAGCTTTCAGGAAAAATAGACTCACTCAGAGAGGGGGAGGCTGTCTTATATATGTAAGACAAAACATGCGAGCGAAAATATTTCAGCACCCCATACTTGATAACTTGCCGGATTCAGTTTGGCTACAGGTCACTACAGGATGTTCTGACTTCATTGTTAGTTGCATCTACCGCCCCCCGAATACTAGTCAAAACGACTTTCTGCCTATCATAGAGGCGTTAAACGTTGTTGCGGACATACCCGGCCCAAAAATGGTGGCCGGCGACTTTAACGCACCAGGCATACGTTGGTCCACTTTGAAAGCCCCACATCTTTTACTACACTTCTTGACCAGCATTCGTTTAGGAGGATGGACTCAACATGTGATGTGCCCAACTAGAGGCAGTAGCATCCTTGATCTCATTTTTACGGTAGGATTATCTCGCGTGCACACATCTATCGTGAACAGCATCCCAGGTTGTGACCACTTGCCGGTGAAATGTGAGTTTTCAGTGCCAGCACGAACCGTTCACAAACCAACCGTTAAAAGACCGTTCCACCAAGCTAGCTGGAATCAATTACCCTCACTTATTCGCTCGCAGAACTGGGATACTTTCTTTTTATCTGATGACTTGCATACCGTGGTGGATCATCTTTACTCCACACTAAATGCATGTCTTGACGTAATCACCCCAACCCAAGGTCTACCTGGACGAGATAAACCAAACAGTTTTTGTCGACTAAAGCAGAAGCTTTCTATGCTACAACGCAAATTCCTTAGGTCGAGAGACTTTTCGTTGTTCTTGCAAATGAACCGTTTATCTAATTCTATGAAATTGATTGAAATGTCCCGCAGTAAAAAACAGGAATTAAGGGCGCTGAGTCACCCCAAGAGGTCCGAAGCTTTATCTAAGCTGATGAAGCTGAGAAACAGCCAGTGCAGTTCTCCTATCTCATCCGTTATATCTAACAACAATTATATAACGAACTCCCAAGAGATCTCCGAGGCATTCAGTGCCTATTTTGCTTCGTCTCTAACGACCGATGACTCCCTATGCCTATATCACGTTGAGCCGCTGACATCTGCACAGTTCTCAGCGGCTACATTTCACCCGAACGACTTAACAGTACAGCTAACTAAAATTAGGAGGTCATACCACCCCGGGCCAGATGCCGTACCACCGGCTACTTTTAGTCTAGGTGGCACTGATATCCCATTCTTGCTATCAAAGGTTTTTAATTTATCTATGAACAGTAGCGTTTTCCCCTCCCATTGGAAAACATCAGTTATTATCCCAATTCTTAAGAAAGGTTCACGCCAGGACCTAACCAACTATCGACCAGTGAACCACACCCCTATAGTTTCCCGAATTATGGAAAGACTGATAAAAAATAAGCTTACAACTCATTTACTAAACAATAACCTCATTAACACTGGACAGCACGGTTTTCTTCAAAAAAGATCCTGTGCCACCTGTATGTGTGACTTCCTTAACCTAATAACTACGGCCACTAACAGTGGTAAATCAGTGATTGTAATCCTCCTTGACATGACTAAAGCTTTCGATCGAGTATCCCACAATAGGCTCATGGCGAAGATGAAAACCTACGGAATTGTTGACCCGATCCTGAGTTGGTTTTCATCATATCTAACATCCCGAAAGCAGGTGGTGGACGTTGATGGCAGTTTATCATCACCTCGACCAGTTACTAGTGGAGTTATTCAGGGTAGTGTACTAGGTCCCTTACTTTTTCTTATATATGTTAATGACATTTTCAACGTCATCACACACGGGGCTGCGTTCCTTTTTGCAGATGACATAAAAATTATGTACTCCTTTGAACCTGACGCCTTAGCTTCTACCATTGCTAGCATAACGAGCGATTTACTATCGCTAGACTCATGGAGCAACCAATGGTTGATGAAATTCTCCGCTGTCAAAAGTTGTATCCTTATGTATAAATGTCAGGTTCCCGCGGGAATGTTTAAAATTAATGATCAGTTCATCCCCAACAGTCCGGAAGTAAGGGACTTGGGATTACAATATTCTTCTACATTTAATTTCTCTGAACATTCGGCCGTGCAGGTTGCTAAAGCTAGACGGCTAATTGGTCTGATTAATAGAACCTTCAGTCTTACAGAGAGCAAGCTAAGCATTTTTAAAACTCATGTAAGACCACTTCTGGAATATTGCACTGTCGTCTTTTCTAACATGCGGCAGATTGACAGATTTGCAATTGAGAATGTACAACGTAGATTTACCAAACAACTACTAGGATATTCCTCGCCTTTAAATTATATGGAAAGGTGTGAAATATTGCACCTAGAGCCCCTATGGCTGCGCCGTCTACGAATGAACCTGTCTTTCTTTTGCAATATTGTAAAACGTACATCTTGCAATTCAGCCCCCCAGGTCAAAACTCCCTCCAACTATTCTTTACGACATAGGGACTCTATGGTCTTGATTCCAGTATCCAGGACTGCGATGCGGTCAAACTTCTTTATTGTTAAATATTCTTCCCTCTGGAACAAACTCCCACCTCAACTTAGGTCAATGTCTTCGGCCTCTTTATTATTCAAAAAAGAAATAAATAAACATCTAACTGTCCAAAAACTGATCCGTATGCATGATCCCTACATGTCTATTACCCGAGCCTACGAACTGGGCCTGGGATACTAACCAAAAGCTTAACAACTTTGTTCAGTACCAACGGATGGTAAGGAGCATTCTGTATTATAGTTAGCAAATAAAAGCAGTCCAACCTATACTCCATGACTGTCAACAGCACACTCCACGTGTTTGTCTAGCCACTTCCTATTTTCAACGCTTCTGACCACGACCCCCTACTGGCCACCGTTACTCCAGTGATTCTTTTTTCATGCTGTCAGATTTTGCCCTAGTCGGTTAGGTTCTTCTTTTTTTATCAGCTGCCGCCAGGTATAAGAGCATTTATAATGCTAGAAAATACATAGCAGCATATATAATATGGTCCTCAAGGTACCAGTCTCATCCACGCTTCAACTACTTACTCATTGAGACCCTATTTCAACACAAGATTCCAGGCCTCGTTCTGATGAACGAATCGCCACAATCGATGTGGTCTTCCATAAACCATTCGTCGAACTACACATAAGTATTTGCCCCCAGTGTCGCCTATTCTCGCTTCCTTGCTTTTTTGGTAACTCTCACTAAGCCTCACAAGAATTAGTCGCTAGTACCGGTCTTCTCCGCTTTCCGTATGTTGTTTAATCCAAAAAACAAGACCTCAACGTCGCGACCACCCATTTCTGTTACTGGCATGATATTGGTGTTCTGTCTTTCTCCCCTAACCCACAGCTGGTAGAATTGCCAGACTGCAGCCCTCTCCGTTTTGTTTTCAGAACCTGTACCCTAAGGACGATTGTCGCCGTCCACTTCCCAGGAATAACGTGGACCCTCTCTTGCTGGACAGGACAAACGAGATTTACACACAACTTCATTTTCGCCCGTCTCACGATCGCTTTCCCCAAGATTCCCGCCATCGGACTTCTTGAACCTGGACTACTCGATCTCACTGCATTCATACAACTCATTTTAATCCCATATGTCATTATGCCCGTCCCGTGTTAGAACTCGCTAATACTGTTCACACACTGGCACCTTTATTGTCACTGTTCATTGCTTCATCGGTCACCAAAAAAAAAACGTCTGGCGCTGACATATCTTTCAGTAGTCCTCCAGTGGGCAGCGAAGTAATTAGTAACTACCTGCACTCTTCATCGGTCCATCCGATCGCATCCGCAATGCTGTTGCATCGAGTGTTCGGGCTCTGTAGATCACTGCGTTCCCTCCACGATTGAACGTCTTCGATACACTTCCCATGCTGCATCGCCGCTCCGTTCCCATCATTTGTTACACCTGTCAAATTGGTCATTAGAAATGTGACACTCACCGTCTACTTGCTATACCATCACCGTTATCGAGACCTTTGATTTTCCAGATGTTGCATTCGTGTTATATTACCGAAACTGACCCCGTATGCAGCCTCTAAATCACACCACTATCTGCACCGGCCGATACATTTTATTTCTATATTCGTTGATCCACGGCCGCTTCCCGCGATATACCTGTGCAGTTTTATTGATCTGTCATTTTTGCATGGTACATACCACACAGCATTCATCTATTGACGTAAACTTATCTGTGGATTACTTTACCTTTCCTCTCGCAGAACTGAACACCTGTATAATGGATGTAACCACACGGTCAATATTGATTAGTCTTCCACTTCCGCTTTGACATTTCATACCAACCCTACATAAAGTTTATAACTTGCCGCACGCTCACCTGTTTTACTCCGGCCGTTCCCTGCCACCATCACTCTGGTAGTATCCCTCCCAAGAAATACGCAATTGTTTGCAACATATATGATTCCTCCAGTATACAGCCACCACTTTATATACTACCATCTTTTCAGACTGAAATATTTCCATGTTAATACTTCTTGACATGCCTGTAGTAAAGTGAATAATTCACCGAACGCTTCGACGAGATTTTTATCCATATGCCTCTCATGTTCTGTAGTGCACCAAAAACATTTCCTTTTAATATGTTCGAATTTCCACTAGTGTAATTATTTCATATACCACGTATGCATGTACTCCAGACCAACTGACATCATTCGACCTTGACCTTCAAATTTGCCGGGCATTACTACAGTTTTAGTTCACTGTAACACTCTCTCTGATACTCTGCATGCACTTGTTGTACCCTTTTGTGAATTGTCATTCCGGCATCAATATAATCATCTGATCATGCATTCTAGCATGCTTCGGGCGCATCCGAAATATACAATTATTATTATTATTATTATAATTTCTCTTGTGCCAATGTGTTTCTCAGGCCGTGACTATCCTCTGGACAAAGAATCAGCCCCGTTAGACGCCATTTAAGCCCAGTTTGATCAATCCACCCATTTCTGCTAGTCCTACTGGAATTTCTCTTGTGCCAATGTGTTTCTCAGGCCGTGACTATCCTCTGGACAAAGAATCAGCGTGCTCGTGGACGCCATTTAAGCCCAGTTTGATCAGTTCACCCATTTCTGCTAGTCCTAGTGGAATTTCTCTTGTGCCAATGTGTTTCTCAGGCCGTGACTATCCTCTGGACACAGAATCAGCGTGCCCGTAGGACGCCATTTAAGCCCAGTTTGATCAATTCACCCATTTCTGCTAGTCCTGCTGGAATTTCTCTTGTGCCAATGTGTTTCTCAGGCCGTGACTATCCTCTGGACAAACAATCAGCGTGCCCGTAGGACGCCATTTAAGCCCAGTTTGATCAATTCACCCATTTCTGCTAGTCCTAGTGGAATTTCTTTTCTCCCAATGTGTTTCTCAGGCCGTGACTATCCTCTGGACAAAGAATCAGCCCCGTAGGACGCCATTTAAGCCCGGTTTGATCAATTCACCCATTTCTGCTAGTCCTACTGGAATTTCTCTTGTGCCAATGTGTTTCTCAGGCCGTGACTATCCTCTGGACAAAGAATCAGCCCCGTAGGACGCCATTGAAGCCCAGTTTGATCAATTCACTCATTTCTGCTAGTCCTACTGGAATTTCTCTTGTGCCAATGTGTTTCTCAGGCCGTGACTATCCTCTGGACAAAGAATCAGCGTGCCCGTAGGACGCCATTTAAGCCCAGTTTGATCAATTCACCCATTTCTGCTAGTCCTGCTGGAATTTCTCTTGTGCCAATGTGTTTCTCAGGCCGTGACTATCCTCTGGACAGAGAATCAGAGTGCCCGTAGGACGCCGTTTAAGCCCAGTTTGATCAATTCACCCATTTCTGCTAGTCCTACTGGAATTTCTCTTGTGCCAATGTGTTTCTCAGGCCGTGACTATCCTCTGGACAAAGAATCAGCCCCGTAGGACGCCATTTAAGCCCGGTTTGATCAATTCACCCATTTCTGCTAGTCCTACTGGAATTTCTCTTGTGCCAATGTGTTTCTCAGGCCGTGACTATCCTCTGGACAGAGAATCAGCGTGCCCGTAGGACGCCATTTAAGCCCAGTTTGATCAATTCACCCATTTCTGCTAGTCCTAGTGGAATTTCTCTTGTGCCAATGTGTTTCTCAGGCCGTGACTATCCTCTGGACAGAGAATCAGCGTGCCCGTAGGAGGCCATTTAAGCCCAGTTTGATCAATTCAACCAATTCTGCTAGTCCTGCTGGAATTTCTCTTGTGCCAATGTGTTTCTCAGGCCGTGACTATCCTTTGGACAAACAATCAGCCCCGTAGGACGCCATTTAAGCCCAGTTTGATCAATTCACCCATTTCTGCTAGTCCTAGTGGAATTTCTCTTGTGCCAATGTGTTTCTCAGGCCGTGACTATCCTCTGGACAGAGAATCAGCGTGCCCGTAGGACGCCATTTAAGCCCAGTTTGATCAATTCACCCATTTCTGCTAGTCCTACTGGAATTTCTCTTGTGCCAATGTGTTTCTCAGGCCGTGACTATCCTCTGGACAAACAATCAGCCCCGTAGGACGCCATTTAAGCCCAGTTTGATCAATTCACCCATTTCTGCTAGTCCTAGTGGAATTTCTTTTCTGCCAATGTGTTTCTCAGGCCGTGACTATCCTCTGGACAAACAATCAGCCCCGTAGGACGCCATTTAAGCCCGGTTTGATCAATTCACCCATTTCTTCTAGTCCTACTGGAATTTCTCTTGTGCCAATGTGTTTCTCAGGCCGTGACTATCCTCTGGACAAAGAATCAGCCCCGTAGGACGCCATTGAAGCCCAGTTTGATCAATTCACTCATTTCTGCTAGTCCTACTGGAATTTCTCTTGTGCCAATGTGTTTCTCAGGCCGTGACTATCCTCTGGACAAAGAATCAGCGTGCCCGTAGGACGCCATTTAAGCCCAGTTTGATCAATTCACCCATTTCTGCTAGTCCTAGTGGAATTTCTCTTGTGCCAATGTGTTTCTCAGGCCGTGACTATCCTCTGGACAGAGAATCAGAGTGCCCGTAGGACGCCGTTTAAGCCCAGTTTGATCAATTCACCCATTTCTGCTAGTCCTACTGGAATTTCTCTTGTGCCAATGTGTTTCTCAGGCCGTGACTATCCTCCGGACAAAGAATCAGCCCCGTAGGACGCCATTTAAGCCCGGTTTGATCAATTCACCCATTTCTGCTAGTCCTACTGGAATTTCTCTTGTGCCAATGTGTTTCTCAGGCCGTGACTATCCTCTGGACAGAGAATCAGCGTGCCCGTAGGACGCCATTTAAGCCCAGTTTGATCAATTCACTCATTTCTGCTAGTCCTACTGGAATTTCTCTTGTGCCAATGTGTTTCTCAGGCCGTGACTATCCTCTGGACAGAGAATCAGCGTGCCCGTAGGAGGCCATTTAAGCCCAGTTTGATCAATTCACACATTTCTGCTAGTCCTGCTGGAATTTCTCTTGTGCCAATGTGTTTCTCAGGCCGTGACTATCCTTTGGACAAACAATCAGCGTGCCCGTAGGACGCCATTTAAGCCCAGTTTGATCAATTCACCCATTTCTGCTAGTCCTAGTGGAATTTCTCTTGTGCCAATGTGTTTCTCAGGCCGTGACTATCCTCTGGACAAAGAATCAGCCCCGTAAGACGCCGTTTAAGCCCAGTTTGATCAATTCACCCATTTCTGCTAGTCCTACTGGAATTTCTCTTGTGCCAATGTGTTTCTCAGGCCGTGACTATCCTCTGGACACAGAATCAGCGTGCCCGTAGGACGCCATTTAAGCCCAGTTTGATCAATTCACCCATTTCTGCTAGTCCTAGTGGAATTTCTCTTGTGCCAATGTGTTTCTCAGGCCGTGACTATCCTCTGGACAAACAATCAGCGTGCCCGTATTAGGCCATTGAAGCCCAGTGTGATCAATTCACCCATTTCTGCTAGTCCTAGTGGAATTTCTCTTGTGCCAATGTGTTTCTCAGGCCGTGACTATCCTCTGGACAAAGAATCAGCCCCGTAGGACGCCATTTAAGCCCAGTTTGATCAATTCGCCCATTTCTGCTAGTCCTACTGGAATTTCTCTTGTGCCAATGTGTTTCTCAGGCCGTGACTATCCTCTGGACAGAGAATCAGCGTGCCCGTAGGACGCCATTTAAGCCCAGTGTGATCAATTCACCCATTTCTGCTAGTCCTAGTGGAATTTCTCTTGTGCCAATGTGTTTCTCAGGCCGTGACTATCCTCTGGACAAAGAATCAGCGTGCCCGTAGGACGCCATTTAAGCCCAGTTTGATCAATTCGCCCATTTCTGCTAGTCCTACTGGAATTTCTCTTGTGCCAATGTGTTTCTCAGGCCGTGACTATCCTCTGGACAGAGAATCAGCCCCGTTAGACGCCATTTAAGCCCGGTTTGATCAATTCACCCATTTCTGCTAGTCCTAGTGGAATTTCTCTTGTGCCAATGTGTTTCTCAGGCCGTGACTATCCTCTGGACAGAGAATCAGCGTGCCCGTAGGACGCCATTTAAGCCCAGTTTGATCAATTCACCCATTTCTGCTAGTCCTACTGGAATTTCTCTTGTGCCAATGTGTTTCTCAGGCCGTGACTATCCTCTGGACAGAGAATCAGCGTGCCCGTAAGAAGCCATTTAAGCCCAGTTTGATCAATTCAACCAATTCTGCTAGTCCTGCTGGAATTTCTCTTGTGCCAATGTGTTTCTCAGGCCGTGACTATCCTTTGGACAAACAATCAGCGTGCCCGTAGGACGCCATTTAAGCCCAGTTTGATCAATTCACCCATTTCTGCTAGTCCTACTGGAATTTCTCTTGTGCCAATGTGTTTCTCAGGCCGTGACTATCCTCTGGACAAAGAATCAGCCCCGTAAGACGCCATTCAAGCCCAGTTTGATCAATTCACCCATTTCTGCTAGTCCTAGTGGAATTTCTCTTGTGCCAATGTGTTTCTCAGGCCGTGACTATCCTCTGGACAAAGAATCAGCGTGCCCGTAGGACGCCATTTAAGCCCAGTTTGATCAATTCACCCATTTCTGCTAGTCCTACTGGAATTTCTCTTGTGCCAATGTGTTTCTCAGGCCATGACTATCCTCTGGACGAACAATCAGCGTGCCCGTATTAGGCCATTGAAGCCCAGTGTGATCAATTCACCCATTTCTGCTAGTCCTACTGGAATTTCTCTTGTGCCAATCTGTTTCTCAGGCCGTGACTATCCTCTGGAAAGAGAATCAGCCCCGTAGGACGCCATTTAGGCCCAGTTTGATCAATTCACCCATTTCTGCTAGTCCTAGTGGAATTTCTCTTGCGTCAATGTGTTTCTCAGGCCGTGACTATCCTCTGGACAAACAATCAGCCCCGTAGGACGCCATTTAAGCCCAGTTTGATCAATTCACCCATTTCTGCTAGTCCTGGTGGATTTTCACTTGTGCCAATGTGTTTCTCAGGCCGTGACTATCCTCTGGACAGAGAATCAGCGTGCCCGTAGGACCCCATTTAAGCCCAGTCTGATCAATTCACCCATTTCTGCTAGTCCTACTGGAATTTCTTTTGTGCCAATGTGTTTCTCAGGCCGTGACTATCCTCTGGACAAAGAATCAGCGTGCCCGTAGGACGCCATTTAAGCCCAGTTTGATCACTTCGCCCATTTCTGCTAGTCCTAGTGGAATTTCTCTTGTGCCAATGTGTTTCTCAGGCCGTGACTATCCTCTGGA